TTGGTCATCTATTAATTGCGATATTTTCCTTGATTCTATCTCCTTTCTCAATTTATATGCTAACCATCTACCTGGTTTATTTGCATCTTCAAAATAGTTCTGTTTGGCACGTCTAATTTTTTGTGCTAATTCTTCTTTTTCTATTAGACACATTTTATGTTTGGTTATATCCATTTTTAACTTAATGTCCTTTCTCTGTGGCATTTTCTGTAGCTCTTTTTCGAGTCCTTTATACTCATCTTCTAATGCCTTAGAGGCTAATCTTTTCATGGTATTTCTTTTCCTTGTATAGTCTATTATCAAGCCTCTTGCATATGCGTTCATTGTATCCCATACATTCTGGATTGATGTATCTTCTTTTTTGTTTTCTCCAAAGAAAAAGGCCAATTCTTTCTCCATCCACTATGTGAAGTCTTTTCCCTTTAAAATAGTATTATTTAACGTCCATCTAGATCTTCTTCTTTGTCCTTTCCATTTAATTGTCATTGGATTGTGATCTGCCCAAGTACTTGTTTCAATATTTATTTCTTGAATATTAGTTAACAATTCTGTTGACATCCATATCATATCTATTCTGGACCATGATAAGTGTCTATTTGAGTAGAAGGTGTATTGTTTAGTTTTAGCATTTCGTTCTCTCCATGTATCTTTTAAGTTTATTTCATCTACCATTTTAAAAAAAGATTTAGGGAGAGTCTTTCTATTTTGCTTTATTGTTTTCTGTGCTGTGTAGTCCAGTTTATTGTCTACAATTCCATTAAAATCTCCCATCATAACTATATTAACATAGTCCAGTTCAACTATTTTCATATGTAATTTTTTATAGAATTCTTCTTGTTTGTCATTCGGGGCATAAATTGCAATCAGGAGTGTTTTCGTATTATTGTCCATTATTTCCACCATTAATATTCTTCCGTCGTCATCAGTATAAATCAATTTCGCTGAGATGGTCTCTTTAATATATAAAACCACTCCTCTTTTCTTACATTGTGTCAAGGAAGTGAATATTTTCCCTAATTTTGGCTGTATCAACAATTGTTCATATTGTTTTTTAATATGTACTTCTTGTAGGCAGATTATATCAAATTTTAATTTCTCTAATTTATGAAAGATTTTCCTTCTTTTAACGGCTGAGTTAAGTTCATTTATATTAATTGTAATCAATTTTTTCTCTTCCATGGTTATATTTTGTAATTAGGTTTGACAGCTCTCGTGGATCTTGGTTCACGTTGTTCTTTGGCTTCCTCCTTTCCACCTACTGCACCTTCTTCTTTTTCAGTCGTCATTTGGGAGTCCTCTTGGAATTCAATTAGTGAAATTTCTTTTTCTGCCTCTTCCTCCCCTCTGAAAAATTCTGTGTAAAATGATTCAGCTTTCTCAATTGAGTCAATTCTACATCTCTGTTCTTGCCATGTAAACATTAAACCTTCTGGAATCAGCCATCTATAATTCACCTCTTTTTAAAGTAATAATTTGGTCAAGAATCGGTATTCCCTTCTCATCTCTCTCACTCTTCTGGGTACTTGTTTCAAGACCACAAACTCCTTATCTTTGTATTTCAATATTTTCTCTCTTGCCACTTGCAATATTTGCGTTTTAATGGCTTTCTTTGTAAATCTGATGTGAACTTCTCTTGGTAAGCTATTCCTCATCGCATATCTTGTGAAGACTCAATAAACCTCATCTATTCCATCCATCATCTTCTCTTCAGTTATTTCCAAAACTTCAGCCAATATTTTTATCATTATCTCAGCTAGATTTTGTCCTTTTTCTTCCTCTATGTTTTGGAATCTAAGATAAAATTCTGATCTGTCCATCTCCCACTCAACACTTTTATCTTGTTCAACCACAGTTAATCTGTTATCAATGTCTCCAATCTCCTTGTCTCTTTGTTTATCTATCTTCTTTTGGAGTCTCTCATCATACTTCATCATCATTTGTTGGATGTTCTCCACTTTTTCATCAGTTTTCCCTGTTCTTTGTTCAATGTTCTCTATTCTCTTTTCAATATTCTCTGATCTTGTTTGAATATTTTGAATTCCTTGCATAATCATCTGCAGGGTCACTTTTTCATGTTCTTTTTCTTGCCTTAATATTGTCTGTATTGAACGTTGTCCTCCAGATGGTGGAGAGGAAGAGGTGGAAGTTGAAGAACCAGGAGCTTTTAATTTCCTACTCACTTTGAGGAGTTCAAAATCTTCAGGTTCTTCTAGACCTTAATCCAGTTGTAAAATAACCAATTGCAGTTCCAAATAAAAATAGTAGGAAAAAAGTAGGAGAATAGTAAGAAAAGAGAAGCCAAATAGTAATAATAATAGAAAAAGAAGAAAAAAATTCTTCAGGTTCTTGTATACCTTAATCCAGTCGGTTGGTTAGATGACAGTAAAAATTCAAAAATGAAGGAAAAGACCATAACCACACCATGAACACACACAAAAAAGAAAAAGTTGTAAAATCCTAAAAAAAGGAGAAAAAGTGAAGAAAAAGGCTAAAAAAGAAAGGAAAAATTCTTCAGGTTCTTCAACACCTTAATCCAATTAAGAGGTCTCAGATATAAAAGTATGCATAAAAATAAACCAAAAAATAGAAAAAGAAAAAAAACCAATATGGAAGGTAGATGGAAAGACAAAAATACCAAGAAGGGAAAGAGAAGAAAAAGGCTACTCCCTTAAAAAGAAAAGGAAGGGAAGCATTAATACTAAAGCTTTTCCTTTAAAATAAAAAGCAGACGTAGAAATTTAACTTCCAAAGACAAGAGGAAAAAAAAGACAAGTTCCAAAGAGCCAAAAATCCAAATAGCTATTGCAAAAAAAAAAGTAAACTGATGAGGAGGGGTAGCACAGCTTAAAAAGAATAAAAAGAGCACACTGCACTTTGTTTGATTATCCAAGGCTCTTGTTATAACTCTCTTCTCCAAAGACTTATCACCTTTTCTTTTCCTAAGCTTCAACACCAGACTCCAGCTGTTGATAGAAACCCAGAAGAGCACCTGTAATAATACTCTCCCGTGCTCTTCCCTCTATCTTATCAAGCAGGCAATGTCCTTGAAACAAAGTCTCAGTTCTTTCTCAGCTTTGTCTGGTCAAAAGAAAAATAGAATATTTCCAAGCCTCTAGTTGGCAATGTTACAAAGTTTCTTTAGCTTTCACTTTCCCCCTCCTTTTCCAAGCAAAATATAATAAGAATTAATTAAAAAGAAAAAGATATTTAAAAAATAACTAAAAGGGAGTCTCTGGCTTAAAATATTATAAAATCAAAAAGGAGAAAGAATATATAAAAAAAAGAAAGAAAAACCAGTCCAGTTTCAAAATATAAGATCATGTGTAGAAAATCCAGCAATGAGGGGAAAAAAATATTACTTTGACATTCCTGTTTAAAATCACCGCTTAATCACTTCTATCAAAACTTTTACAGATTCTTTCTTTCCCTTAGGGTGTCCTTTCAAGTCTTAAAATAAAGAAAAAGTTCTCACCAAACCAGCACACTCTCTCTTTCCATTCTCTTTTGTTTCGGAGCTGTCCCAACTTCAGCAGCTTTGATGGCTGCCTCTTTGCCGCTGGCAAAAAGAGCTTCTCCTGGATCTACCAGGGACTTTGCGATATCCCTGGGATCAACAGGATGCACTCTTTACATTCACCGTCTCTTCGGGACGGTTTAGATCCACTTGGACCGTCCAGAAGCAAAGATATCGGCTACAATCTCAGATCTCCAAGATTGCATGCCATATCGTCGCAACGCCAGCTCCCCCCTCCCCCCTCTGCTGAAGTTTTGTCCAGATTTTTGCAGCTCAGTTATAATTTTAATCTAGTGTTTCTCAACCTTGGCAATTTTAAGATGTATGCACTTCAACTTTCTGAATTTCCTGGCTAGCCTTCTGGCTGGGGAATTCTGGAAGTTGAAGTCCACACCTCTTAAAATTGCCAAGATTAAAAAAAACCCACTACTCTAACCGTTCCCCTCATCTGCTATATGAATCTTTCCAATGGAATTTGCAAGGAACCCATAAACAGTCTTTTTCACATCAGGCCTGGGTTTTATTGCTGATCTTCAATCCCTCTCCTATCCTTCCGGTGACTCTGGGGCCCAGGACAGAAGACGCTGGTAGATGCACAAAGATTCTTTAAATTGTTTTGGGTCAACTCAACAGTTTTAACATATTCATAGTATTATGGCTCTCCGCTTTTTATGCTGAATCTATATTAACTATCTGGGTGGAATAATGCAATCAAGTAACTTTAGATCCCCAATATGTTGGAAAGAAGAACTTTAGATATTGCTCCATCTTATAAGCCCCATTTTATTTCTTAAAAAGACATATATTTAATTAAAAATAACAAAAATTGTAATATGTCATTATATATGTTCAATCATCCATTGGTTGATACATGTGTAGCTATGTGTGTATGTGTGGGTAGGGTTTTTGTTTTTGTTTGCTATGATATCAGTTCTCGTAGGGTTACTGCTTCCCTGCACTCAGGGGTGCAATTTAACCGGTGTAACAACCAGTTCAGTGAGCATGTGCTTTGTGTGCTTTGTGCGCATGCAGAGCGTTTGCTACTGACCTTCTCCAGCAATCCCTATGTGTTAAACAGCTGACAGGCGGCAATCTGCTGTGCCACGTGAATCAGCTGAGCTTGAAAAACAGGATATAAAGCACAGCCTAGAGCCCGGGTGGGTGGGCAGTCCCAACAGCTGATCGTCGGAGCAAACTGAATCGGTTTGCTCCCAGCTGATCCTCAGAGCTACCAGTTCGCCTGAACCAGGCTGATCCGGTGGAATCCCACCCCTGCCCTGCACTTATCCTTTGGAAATCACTGGGGACCCTAATGCCTGCAGGATTGTGATCTTTTCTCCCAAAGCCCAACCCTAGCCATATTTGGATACTGTAGAAATATAAATACATCAGTAAAGGCGTCTCTGAATTCTTTGTGTGTGAAATTATTTTCGTGTTATTTCTAATCTGTTATTTATCTCCTTTTTTATTTCTTCTCTGAGTGCAGCAGGATGTTCCCACTGGAATGAATGCTTCTTCTACTTCTGTCCCTGTGCCAGCCCAAGAGACCATCCACACCAAGATGGAGGAGCTGGAAGGACAAATCCTCTCAAAGCTTTTGGCCCTGGAGAAAGAACGCACCTCCATCGCCAGCAGCCACAACCAACAGCAACAAAATGTCGAAAAGGAGCTGGATGCTCTCCATAACAGGGTCGTTGGATTTGAGCATGGTTAGTGTGACCACTAGGAGCCCAGAATATGAGGTTAAACCCAGAACTTTCATACATTCATTTTAGTACCTATTTATATAACTCTAGGTATGGGTCTTATTTATTCTCTTTAAACAAAAGTTTAAAAATTAGAAAAGAATGAATCAAAATGCTGTGGTATTGAAATGTTTATTTTGAAGTACTTTCTGATCTGGTGCTACTCATTCGTTACACAATGAGTCTCTTCTGCTCCTGTTCCTCAGCAAATATTACCTGATAGCATATGCTCCAATGAAAAGCTCCATATGGCCACTGTTAAATAACTAGCAACCATTGATTGACACAACTAGCTTTTGTAACTTGGATGAGTCCTCTCTTACAGCCAGGTATGCTAGTAACCATCTCTTCTCCATTTGTGGCTATGGATCCCACAAATTAGTTATGTGCTAGGTGGCATTTCTTGAATCTATGACCAAGTAACTTTGTCAAATGATCTCAAATTCTGATAGAACGTGACTAATGTACTGACTATGTATAAAATCTGATACCCATCTTTCAGATAACAATGGCCTGATCATATGTCAGGATTATTTCTCTATTTCTGCTAGTCTTTCATAACTCTTTTGACTCTTATGTATTATATCCTGTGCAAATAGGAACAACTGTCTTCAACCCTCCAGAAGCATTTAAAGTCTCCATCCCTGTACGAAACAACTACATGTACGCTCGGATGAAGAAAAGCTTGCCTGAACTATATGCCTTCACTATCAGCATGTGGCTAAAAGCTAAGAATTCAGCAGAAGTAGGCACTCCTTTCTCCTACTCTGCTCCTGGACAAGCCAATGAGCTTGTACTGATAGTGTGGGGAAACAATCCTATGGAACTTATAATTAATGACAAGGTAAGGTAAAGGAAGCTTCCAGCATAGAATGAATTGAATGGCATAGGCACTGACCTGCTCTAAAAATGGCATTAGCTGTAGTAACAATGCATGATTTTCCTAGGCTGGAGTACCATGGTAGAATGGAAGGGCTGCACTGCAAAAATCATATTGACTTTTATGACTTCCCTGTCTAGACATATGTGACACAAATTTACTTTTTATGAATTGCTAAAACATGAACTGCCACTACCAATAAGATGGCACCTCCCAATGTCAGTGGTTGATTTTCAGTGGTGTGATTGTTTTAGTTATTTTTCTATAAACAATCTGAAAAAGAAATAGGTTTAATGTACCTGTTTTACCTACTTACATCACTTCCAAAAGAAAGGGAGGGGAAAAATTGATTCCCTACCCTTCCAGTGATGTCTGCATGCCAGCAATACACTCTAATGCCCTTAGAGGGCTGTCAAATGAAAATACAATCCCATCCACAAAAAGACAGCTCAGCCTCCCGATTCAAAAAGTCTAAAAGTGACTGTACTCTCGTCCAGGAAAATCAAGGGCCACAGTGATGAAGTAGCAGGAATGGCTTTGCTCGGGTTTAGTTGCTTTTTCTTTAGATGCCTGTGATGCTGTCTGAATGGAACAGCCCTTGAAAAATGTTCAGAAAGTACAGATAGAATCAAATGCAACAGATTTTTTTTTGGTTATGGTCCATTTTTGTAGACCTCTCTTAGATATATTTTCCTGACTTCCAATCTACTACTATGCACAATTCAGGCTGGTGGTTTTAATCTACAAAACAAAATTGTTTGGGTTCAGGATATCTGAAGGATACCTACCTTTTCCTGTGAATCTATATAAATTTTACAATTCTAATTGAGAGGTCTGCTATATGACCCACCATGTAGAGATACCATGTTGCCAAGTACTCATGATGGGCTTCTTTGGGTAGTGACAATCCAGCTGTGGAACTTCTCTGCAATCAGATTCTTATTTGGAAAAATGACCAGAAAGATTATTCTATTCAGTTTTATCTGTCTGACATGTTGCCATACTGGCTGCACTCAGACAAGTCATTCTAGACTATAAGATGATTGGGAAACCAACTGTGACAGTGATGAGTATGGGAATTTTAGGAAAGGAAAAAAGGCATCTAGAAAAACATCTATTTGCACTAGGCTAAGCACCAAGAAATGTCTTTAATAGAAAATCTATTTAAAAATCTATTGGCACTAGGCTGTTAAGGCACTCTCTGTTCTGTTCTGTTGGAAAGGTGGCCCAACTGCCCATGACTTTAAAGGATGGGACATGGCACCATGTTTGCATTACATGGATCACTCGGGATGGCATATGGTCTGTGTATCTAGATGGAGTGGAGCGTGGTGCCAGTGATAACCTAGCATCTTGGCATTCAATCAAACCTCATGGGGTGATGATCTTGGGTCAGGAACAGGTAAGTCTGATTTATCTTCATTGGAAATTAATGATCAAAATAATATTCAAGCAACTTGACTAGCAGTTGAACTAAAGGAGCAGAATTTGAGCCTAAGAGATGCCCTATTAGTCTTCTCTTGACTGTGTCAAATCCATCAGCCTTAAAATTTAGAAAATTAAAAGATTTTTGGTTTAAACTGGAGTCCCTGAAATCCATGAGCATGAAATGGCTTTTTCTACCCTGCATGGTTTTCCTATTCCTTATCATTCATTATTCCTATAAAGTATGAAATGCAGCCCTTGAAATTGAAGAAGTGGCAACCTCCACACTAAAATTAATAGTTACCTTCAGTAACAATATTTTTCTATCCCTAGTTTTCATCAACTTTTTAATCGAAGCTGATTCATCCATTGTTGTTAAATTCCTTCCCATTTACTTGGTTTGTTTTCCTATTTCTCCATTTTGATGCCACAGGATACATTGGGAGGGAGATTTGATGCAACTCAGGCCTTCGTTGGGGAAATTTCTCAGTTCAACATGTGGGATCATGTCCTGATGCCAGCAGAGATCGTAGGTCTGGCCAACTGTACCAGCCGGCTGCAGGGCAACGTAGCCCAGTGGGATGAGAAGTTGGTTGAAGTCCATGGAGGGGCAGCCAAATTAAGCTTTGAGATCTGCGAGGCAAAAATGAAGGCATGAAGATCTTTCGTTCCTGCCACAAGAAAGGAGCATGCAAGCCACATTTCCTTCTTTGAATCTGCTTTGGGAAAGAAAGAACAACAGTTCCTTTCTCCCATCCAGCAACTTCTTACATTCGGCCCAGAGAGAGGGAAGTTGTGTGTGTGTGTGTGTGTGTGTGTGTGTGTTTGAGAAAGAGAGAGCACATGCACACAAGGAAGCCTTCTAAACTTAAAAATGAAATTATGACACTATTTCTCATTGTTTCAGTAAAATATTTTTAAATTCATTCTGTGAGTGACTAGACATTCCACTAAGGAAACTAAAGTGGTTGGAAAGTAGCTAATCTCTGAAGAGCAGTACAAGAAAGGATAAAAAAAACTGTATCAGTGAGTAGGAAATTGTTGGTAGAACTTGCATCTCCAACACTTCCAGTCTGTCCCATTGCTGATATTTTCAGTGATGAAACGTGAACTTTGTTGATTGGATTTGTAAAAGCATTAAAGCACTATGTTGACATTTGCCCCCTTTAAGCCACTAATACACAACCCAACATTCTTCTAGTATCTGCATGTCCTCACCAGGATGTTCAGCTGTTTTATCTTTCTTCTAGCTTTAGTTTGTAGTCTTCCTTGTCAGGTGAAGCATTGTCACTAAGCAAAAAGTGCCAGCAGTTTCCTTAACTTCACAAAGGCCTATGTTTAATGTTCAGATTTTTTATTTACACCAGAGATATCATTTTCCTAATTGGTTACTTGAATTCTTGTGTTGCCCTGCCAATCTTTTTTTGTTTCTCTAGATTATATATTTTCAAACTCTTTTTTAAACCTTTCTTATAAGCCATAATGACAGATTTTAAGAAGGGCAAGTTCTAAGTGGTAGGCACAGATTATGAGCAGTCCTGGTCAAGCCTTTTTCTACCCTAGTTTTCCCTTTCATTGCTGCCTTTCCCTCCTAAGGGCTGACTCTCACAAGCTTGGCTCATTTTGTTTATCATCATCACAGTGACTTGCAGCTGGTTGTGTGAATAGTGTTCATTAAAAAGCATTGTGTCTGAAGTGATGTGGTATGTGATGTGGTACAATATGAAAACTTTTGTTATGCTCTATGATAGCTTTTTGATCCATGCATTCTCCTCCTCCTCCTCTATGAATATCAACTCAAAAGATTTATCTGCAAAAGTCATGTTTACTGTAGGATTCTGAGAGTTGAAATCTATGTACCTGAATAATGCTCAAGTTGAAGAAAGTTGGCCAAACTATTTGACTGGATGAATTGTTTGATTCATGACAGATAGAAACCTGTTGGGAAATAACATTTGGGACCACAGACAAGCCAACATAATGATTAGGGTCTAGCAATCTGATCCTGCCATCCAAAAATGTCACCACAAAAAGTCTTACATCACTGCACGTATTTCAATAAATATATCAAATACATCCAGCAAAACTGTGTAAACTGCAGAGGAATGCAATAGGCAAGGCAGTGCAATTGGGAAAGGGAGCTTGTTGGGCAATGAGATGAATTCATTTACTATAATTTACATATCAGTTCAAGAGAGTTTATCCACAGTTTACTGAGAAATTCTTCTGCAGTGGTACCATTGCTATTTGTCTTATCCCTGATACATATTGGATCTTTCAGTATGCATCCTCTTTTGCTTCATTATTAGCTCACATATTTATGGCTAAACTTATAAGTGTGTCACTGAAAATATGGTTGTGTGTCTTCCTTGACAGACAGCCCTTAGTTAAAGGAGCTTTTGAAAATCAAATAAGGTTGGGTTGTATTTTGGTACCTATCATGTGGTTGGGGTGCAAAAAGTATGGTGGGGAGAACTATTGTTTCATACTAAGGGACTAAGATTTTCTGATTTTTCTTTGACTGGCAAGTGAGACATTAGGTTTTTTTTTAATCCTTTTAAAGATGTATTAAAACTATCATAGGGCTTCTACTACAGTGTTTGGAGTCTCCTGCCTTATTTATTTATTTATTTATTTATTTGTTTGTTTGTTTGTTTGTTTGTTTGTTTACTTACTTACTTACTTACTTATTCCACCATTATTATAAATAATTCAAGGGGAAGGATATACCTAATATCCCTTCTTCCTCCTATTTTCTGCACAATAACCCTGTGAGATGAGTTGGGCTGAGAGAGAGTGACTGGCCCAAAGTCACCGAGTTGGCTTGCATGTCTCAGGCAGCCTTAGAACTCACAGCCTTCCAGTTTCTAGCCTGGTGCCTTAACAACTAGACCATACCCGTTATTTATTCATGGCAATCACAGTCAGATGTGTGCAAGGAGATGCAGAACAGATTCTCAGACCACTTGTGGCCAGTCAGAGTGTTCTGTCCTAAGTGAGATATAAAATGAGTGGACAGAATCTAGACATCAGATCTTTCGGTTGTTTATATGTTTATTTTCCTAGGTAGGCTTGTTGGGTGAGATAAAAGCATTTGATCCTCTGCAAATTCTTCATTTTCCTTGCAGTCATTTGCAGACATAAACGTATTTCCCAAGTCATTTGTCCTGAACAAGAAAAGCTCCCTTTCTCTCTTGATAAGTACTCATTTAATTTCTTTGCTCAGTAGAGCATCTCTTGCTGCTATTATGACAAATGAATCTATCTCAGTGCAACACTTACATATTAGAACTCAATGTTCTTTCAAGTCTTGATCCTAATCAAGATTCAAGACTCTTATGAGCCTTTGTGGCTTCAAAAACAATGATAAATTTCCCCAATCTGATGCTCAATCTTCCCCAATCTGATGCTCCCCAAACTCCCAGCTAGCCCAATGTCTGGAAAGGCTGTCAAACACTAGTATATTAGTAATATAAATAATGTTGTTAGTAATGTTTTCTAGGGAGTGAAGAAAGCCCTCCGTTACAGCTACAAGACACAACTATCCCCACACTGACTTCCTCACAGGAAAAGCATTTTTTTATTAAATCAAATGAATCTATTCGACATATTTTTTCACAAATGTATCGTGTGATGTTGACTAAGTTACTAACAAATAATATTAAATTCTAAATAAAGCCAAATGAGTAAGACAACCCAGGATGCTGCACTAAAATCTGTAAAGTCATCTAAAGATATTCAGCTCTCCACACTTTCCAGCAGAAAAATAGCTGTGTTCCTATTCTTATTCCAGTCTGGTTTTTCTTCTGATTATGCCTCTCCTGGGATAAAAATAAGACACCTTAAAATGTCTTTAGCATTCCAGGTTTTTAAGCATTGGAACCAGAAAAATGGAGGTAGGCACTGGGGAGCTGTAGAGTCTGCTCCAGTGGTGGGATTCAATTTTTTTTACTACCGGTTCTGTGAGTGTGGCTTAGTGGGCATGGTGTGGCTTGGTGTGTGTGGCAGGGGAAGGACACTGTAAAATCTCCAGTCAGAGGTGGTAGTTGCTGGTTTTCCGAACTACTCAAAATTTCCGCTACCGGTTCTCCAGAACTGATCAGAACCTGCTGAATACCACCTCTGGTCTGCTCACACAGTAGGACATAGTCACAGTGCTTACTTTTACCTTTGAGTACCAGATGACACAATTGTTTTAGAAATTCTGAATCTAGTGCATTGACTCTTTTCTGTATTATGTTCCCTCCCCTACCGTAATTTTTTCTACCTGACAATACAAAATTTGTTCTTTCTCTTTTAATTTCTCTCTGATCAGACGGAGTGAGTGAAGGCAAGGTGGAAAAGCTTTGTTCAGATTATAAGGGCAACCATTAAGGAGACAGTTATAAGTGAGGATTCTCTTTTAATGAATGAAAATTTAATACAACCTTCTCCAATTAGGTGTCCTGATATGTTGGATAATGTGATGCACATGCGGGAATTATGACACACATTCCTTAACTGTGCAAGTAGCCTTGCACAGTTAAGGAACACCAGACTGGGAAGATTGACACAGTGTATAACAACTTGTACATTATTACATAGGAAATGGAGATAAGCATTGTTTTTAACATGTGTGTAGTGCAGAAGCATATTATACATATTATATGCAGACAGTTTGCCTCTAGTTCTCCACAGCATATGTGTAATGATACAAAAGTATAAATCGGCTCTATGAATTATAAGAATCATCACTCCAACAGGCTAATCTTTAATGTATACCACTAAAAAGGTTAACCACAAATTGTCTCATTGCCTATGAGGAACCAAACTATTCAGAGGAAGGAGTGAGCACAGGAAGAGAAGCAATCCTGTTCAAATTGTAAACACTGTGATCATAATATCCCAAGCCTGCGGGAAAGAATAAGTTCTCTAACCATCATCTTCTTCTCTTTCTCCCTTCCTCCTGTATAGCTGTTTAAAAGGATGTGATATATGTGCGCACATGTATGTATCATATGTTTGGGGTTTTTTGGGTTGTTTTTGGTATATTTGACAGTTGACAATAAATTTGATGTTTATATTTGATTCTCTTATGGATGTAAACATTCCTAAAACAGATGTGTCAAACTCAAAGCCCAGGGACCAGATCCAGATCATGAGGTGCTTAGATCTGGCTTGCGGGGCCACTCTGGAAACAGTGAAGTACTGGCCTGTGGTGCCTCTGCCAGTGAAAATGGAGCTGAGGGGGGCCATGCATGCCCCTCCTGAGCTCCATTTTCACTGGCAGAGGGTTGTAGCAGGCCGTCACAGCTGAAAATGGAGCTTGGGAGCCCGTTTTCACTGGCAGAATGCTGGGGCCACCACCGGTGTCCCCAACACGAGTGATGTCGAGCTGACTATGCGCACCCCAGCCCCACCAAGGTCAAATAAAACCATGATGTGGCCTTCAATGAAATCGAGTTTGACACACTTACACTACATGATATAGCCATTTTTAGAGTCTGGTGGAAAATATTTTTATCACTCTGTTAACAAAGAAAGAATATACATAAAACATAATTGGTCAATGGAGTAGAAAATTTAGCAAGCATTTTAATTTTAGTGTAACAATATCAACAACAATAAGTCCATATGTTTTTGCAGTGTAAGAGTTGCAGAAAAAATTATCCTGTAATCTACAACTCTTACACTGCAAAAACATATGGACTACACAACTCGATCAGGGCAAAGCAATAGACGCAATCTACATAGACTTCTGTAAAGCCTTTGATTCAGTGGTACACGACAAACTACTCCTAAAACTAAAATCTTATGGTATCTCTGGACACCTGCATAACTGGATAGAAGCATTCCTGTCAAACAGACAACAAATGGTCAAAATTGGGAGCGTCCTATCAAATTCTGTACCTGTCAACAGTGGTGTCCCCCAAGGCAGTGTTCTAGCACCAACTCTCTTCATACTCTACATAAATGACCTCTGTGATCATATTAAGAGCAACTGTGTTCTCTTTGCTGATGATGTAAAGCTATTCAACACCACAGACAGTATTGCTACCCTTCAAAAAGACCTCGACTATGTATCAGAATGGTCAAACAAATGGCAACTTCAAATCTCAACAAATAAATGCTCTGTCCTACATATTGGCAAAAAAAATCAGAAAATAAAATACAGGCTGAATAGTCAAGACCTTGTTGATGATCCAAACTCTGTCAAGGACCTTGGAGTACTTATCTCTAATGATCTAAGTGCTAGAGCCCACTGTAACTACATAGCCAAAAAGGCGTTAAGAGTTGTTAACCTAATCTTACGTAGCTTTTTCTCTGGTAATATTACACTAATAACTAGAGCATACAAAACATTTGCTAGACCAATACTTGAATACAGCTCATCAGTCTGGAACCCACATTACGTATCTGATATTAACACAGTTGAGAAAGTCCAGAAATATTTCACAAGAAGAGTTCTCCACTCCTCTACTCATTGCAAAATACCTTATGCCACCAGACTTGAAATTCTAGACCTAGAAAACCTAGAACTACGCTGCCTTCGGTCCGATCTAAGTATACTATATAAAATCATACATAGAATATCCTACCTGTCAATGAATACTTCAACTTCAACCATAATAGCACTAGAACAAACAATAGATACAAACTCAAGGTTAATCGCACCAAACTTAATTGCAGGAAATACGACTTCAGCAACAGAGTGGTCAATGTCTGGAATACTCTACCTGACTGTGGTTTCTTCCCCAAACTCCAAAAACTTTAACCTTAGACTGTCTACTATTGACCTCACCCCTTTCCTAAGAGGTCTGTAGGGGACATGCATAAGCGCACCAAGGTGCCTACCGTCCCTGTCCCATTGTTTCTTTTATATAGTTTTTATTTTTCTTATATGTATCCATGTATTCATAACTATGTTTTTACTTATACCTATTATCTTGTAAGCAATTGACAAATAAAAATAAATAAATAAATAAATAAAAATAAACAAGCAAGCAAGCATAGCTATCATTCACCCATAGCAGGGCTGTGAAACTCGCGACTGGTGGGCCGGATGCATCATGCGCTGGTCATTCACGCCCCCACCCGGTTTAGCAAAGGGGAAAAAGTCCCAATACATCATGTGATGCTGCCATGACAATGCAAATTTGACACCCTTGACCTATAGTGTCAATTCATTCACTATTTCCTTACTATGTGCCAAAACATCTTGATCAAGATTGTTCAACTTGTAGCAGATTCTTCCTAACCTGATTCCCTCCGGATTCCATTATCTTCTGCCAGCATGGCCAAAACTGCATTTGAAATAAAAATGCCCCTGAGTGTTACTTACAATATTCTAGGGATATTAGAGATCTGATTAAATTCATATCCCACCTTTCCTCTAGGAGTTCAAGACAGTATGCAACATTTCCTCTTTTTTTTTCTTTTACAAAAACATTCTGGTAGTACAATATTTTTTTCTGAGAGGGATTGATTGAGCTCCATTCAGTGAAAGTTTGATCAAAAGTAGGCTTAAACCTAGGAGTAACTGATGAGATTTATAGGCAGCCCCAATCTATCACAATTTTATGCAGTTTACAAAATAAGATAATAGTAAACATAAATATGCATAACCTGAAAAAGAAAAAACAGTTCCAAAACC